AGAATAGTGAGAATTTTCAGTCTTCTCAAATTCTTGATTCTCCTCATCACTGCAGTCGGACCACGTTGCCTTATAGACATTGTTCTTTCTCTTGAAGTTTGGACATTCCTTCTGAAAGTGACCAAACCCTTTGCATTCCCGACACTGATCTTTTTCAACTCCTTGGTCGATGTTCTGAACCTTGTACTGTTTTACGCTGGAACCTCGCTCACCAAGTTGCTGAAACATGTTCTTACCACCTTCAGAGGGCTTGTTTCCTTGAAACCTTATCTTCTGTAATTTCTTCAGCTTTGAGGCATTTTTAGTAAGAAAGGTAAGGGCCTTCATGATCTCATCAGCATCAAAGGATTCTTCATCTGATTCTTCATCTTCAGCAACTGCAGTACGAACCTTGGCTTTCAATGCTAAGCCTTTCCCTTTGCTTATTCTCATCGAGTCAAAACCATGGTTGATTTCAAATGTACGCAATTCACCGAGAAGGTCATCAATGCCCAGCTTTTGAATTCTCTGAAAACTCTCCAAAGCTGTGATCTTAATTCCAAATCTATCCGGTAGAGTTCTCATTAACTTCTGCACTTGTCTTGCTTCTGGAACCGGTTCACCAAGAATTGCGCTTTGGTTTACTAGATCGCAGAAACGTGCATAGTACATGTCAATAGTTTCATCATCCCTCATGCGAATCTCATCAAGCTCAGTAGAAACTCTTTGGAGCTTTGAGGTTTTCACCGCGTTTGTGCCTTCAAATTGTCTTTCCAAGATCCTCCAAGCTTCTTGAGCGGTTGTGCACTGGATGATTATCTTGTGACGAGTGGGATCTACAGCAGACATGATAGCATATAGAGCCCGAAAATTAGCTTCTTCTGCTAGTCTTTCATCATCAGTCCAAATATCCCTTGGTTTTTCAACCAGAACTTTTGTTGCCGAAGTTGACGACTTTCCATCCGAGGACTCACCTCCCTTAGATTCAGCAGGAACTTTTTCCATGAGAGGTAACGTCCAACCAGATTCAACGGCCTGCCACGTGCCTTTACCAAGAGATCGAAGAAAGATCACCATCATGGATTTCCAGTATGCATAGTTAGAACCATCAAGAAACGGAGGGCGCGAAACGGACATCCAATTGTGACTCATTGTGACCGACACACAGTCCCAAAGATCTTTATCCCGTAGTTAGAACAGGAACACTGCTCTGGTGCCAATTAAAACGTATATTTTTAACTCGAGTGCGCAAAACGATGTAAGAACATGGTAAACAATCGTAACAAGCGGAAGCAATAAACCGAAGATGTAAAAACTCTTCAGGGAAGCGTCCCACTTCCCCTCAGAGCTCTTTCATTGATAAACCGTTCACACTTGTATAGTTTGGACTTACACGACTCGAACTCCCTTCTAGTCTAGCCACAACTACACACGATTCTATCAATTACTTCTCCGGCCACGTCCCGTGGACTTCTAACTCTCGAATCCCTCGAGCTAACCACTGTACTTAATCCCTAAGTACTGATCACAAAAGTGTTTGAATGAAAGAAAAAGAAACAAACTAAACAGCTTCAGTTCTTGGATACGTAAGAACCTTGAACTGAACTGTGAACAAAATAAAACCAAAAAGGCTTGAAGCTCGAATATTGAATGAAAGATAATTATCTCAGCCCCATATCTTCGATCTTCAAGCAGGGTATATATACAACTCCTTAGGGTGGAGTCTTCTCCAAGTTCTTCCTTTCCTTTTAGGAGTCAATTTCCTTCTCAATAGATTGCTTTCTGATTTGGACGACATCCTTCATGTAAGGTAAGTTTCCTTGATGTATAAATCGTGCATGTGATTTGGAGATCTTCAGAATTGAACTTCCAATGGAAATCTTGCCTTCCAGAATCTAGTAAGAACATGACTTTCCAAAAATAGCCTATCTTCCAAATCTTCAAAGATCTTGTGGTGAATCTTTCCAAATCCTCCTTAGATCCAGATCTCTTCTTGTATGTAAAGCTCATCCTTTCATAGTCCTTGCCACCTATTCCTTGTCCTACAAGCAAAAGAGAACTAATTATGGCATGTGGCATATATGGTAAGTAAATATATAAGATATATATTATGTAATCCTTCTCCTAAAGGATTAGGATTCCATAATACATACTACAATGAATATATACCATATATTATTAATAATAAATATTAGGAACTTAATTAAATCACAAGTAAATAAATAGAAAAACTTCCCTTTAATTTATTTTGCTTGCTTAACAAGAAATCTTCTAAAAAACACTTAGGTTTGTCGGACATGATGCCAAACCAATGTTCTTACAGCCATGACCATAAACAAGAGTCAGGGTCAGTCTTTATCACATGTTGGACTGTTCTTTAAAAAACCTGTTTTTAGTCATGGCCAGTTATACGTCGTTGTTTCACGTGTTACTAATAGGAAGGGGTTGAAAATATTAGTTTGTGGGGACGATGAGTTACCCAGTAATCAAACTAATAACGTTGTATATAAGGAGGTTTTTAATAATGTATAACTTTTTACCAATGACGATTTTATGTTTACTTTATGAATGTCATACGTATTATAATAACTTATTAATTAATGACCTTTTAATTTCTTAAAATTTTCCAAAACATGTACTAGCCCGTGCATCGCACGGGTTACATACTAGTATTTTAAAATATAAAATAAATGTTAACCAATGATTTCAAGGTTAATAAATGTGATATAAGTTGAGATATTTAAATTTTGTAGTTTGAAAAGTAAACTCTCAACGTACAGTCATCGCACCGAATTTGAATTCCTTTATTCTTCAGTAGTTTCCCCAAACTCACTCAATTTGTTCAACCATAAAGACAACAGACACTTTTGCCTAGCTTTGAATGACAGGGATGAATAAAAAGAGTCCTAATAAAACATCTCCTGCCCATTCACAGCCTCCATCATCAACACTCAAACACTCAAAACTTTCTAAAAATTGGCAAGATTTTAACTCTAAATGAACCCAGAAAATGGATACAACAAAATAAAACCCCCACAAGAACAAAAATTGCAACTCCCAACAAAACAAATAATCAAATTCAACCATTGATCCCCATTTTCCAAGACAGAGAAAATTTCTTCCCCACAGCCAATTCAAGCCCCTTGATCTCAACCATCACACTACTCCTCTCCCCTTCATCCTCCCCCAACTCCACCAAATTTTCATGCCTCTTTTCACTTATCTCCACCTCCGAACCACCGTTAACCGCTCTCTCGTCAACTTCGATCTCGAGCCCACTCCCAGTCGCCGTCCCACTCAACCCGAGCACAACCACACGCTCGACAATCCACCCTTTGTCCAACGCATACTTACTCTCCTCCACCTCCGACCACACCTTCACCTTCCCGTCACTAACTTTCGCGTGAAACTCGACATAAGTCGAGCGCCCATTCCCGAGCCTCATCTCCGGAAGCTCGTCCTCGTCCAGAAACAAATTCCCCTTCGCCTGCCCCTTGTCCGCTCCCATTGGAAACGCGACCACGAGGGTAAAAGGCGTCATTCTCGCCTCCTTCGATATCAACCCGCCCCTTTGCATCGGTATTATCGTGTTCTCATACAAATGGACATTTATTGTGTGCAGAGGCGCGTCTAGCAAAACGTAACGGGTTTCTTTCGAGAAAACCACTCTCGTCATATCAAACATGTTGTACCACGTACCGCGTGGGAACACGGCCCGAACCTCGGTCTTGTTAGGTTCTAGCACCGGGGACACCATAACACTCTTTCCGATCAAAAACTGCGTGCTCAGCCCGTATAACTCGGGCTCGTCCGTGAACGTGAAGAACAGGGGACGAGCGATCGGCGCCCCGGTCATGTGCGCCTCGTAACTCAACGTGTAGAAGTAGGGCAATAGCTTGTACCTCATGCCTAGAGCGTTTCGGGCCGACTCGGCTACAGAGGCCCACTGGTAAAGCTCCTGTCTTGGAGAGTAGAAGTTCGCATGGTCCCGTGAAAACGGGTAAAACGCCCCTACCCCAATCCACCGGTTGCAAAGCTCCTCGGTCGGTGCCGGGTAGAACCCACATATATCCGATCCAACCATGGGTACACCGAACAAACCGAAATTGAGCACGGTCGAGATCGAGTACCTCAAATCCTCCCATGTTCCCTTGTTGTCCCCCGTCCAATGGGCCACGTACTTGCCAGACCCCACATAAGTCGAGCGTGACAGGATAAAAGGCCGTTTCCCCTCGAGCCCTTGCAAAGCTTTGTGTGTCGGGATCGACTGTGAAAAACCGTAGAGACTATGCGCGTCGTATTCCAAGACGCCGTTATAATGGTAGGCGCTCGTGGCTATAGTCTTGTACCCGATTGGGGCTTGTATTCCTGAGGCGTTGATCTTGTACGGCGGGTCGTCCCACCTTGTGCTGGTGATGTTGGTGCAGTCGAGGCAGCACACCCAGCCCGGCCCGGTTCCGTTGGGGCAGATCCGGCCTTCCGGGAGAGTGCAGAGGCCCGAGCAGAAGTTCGAGGCCTCGTTCATGTCGATCCAAAGCCCATCGACAGGGACGAGGGCGTGGAAGCGGCGAATCTCGTCGGCCCACCAGTCGGCCGTGGTGGGGTTGAGGAAGTCCGGGAAGTTGACCGGGCCGGGCCAAACTTGGGCTAGGAAGGGACGGCCAGCATACTTGATGAAGACGTCACGGGCCAGGCCACGCTGGTAGACGCCGTAAGTGGAGTTGACTCCAATGCCCGGATCGATGATGACGATGTATTTCATGCCACGCGCGTGGATTTTGTCGAGGAAGGAGAGGAGTTTGGGGCGGGGGTAGTTGACCGGGTTGAGGGTGAAGTCCTTGTGGCCGTCCATGTGGTCGTCGTCGTTCCATATCACGTCGAGAGGGATTCGGGCGTTTTGGTAATTTTCGACCACGTCCTCGACTACGGATAGGTTGTGATAGCCCCATCTACATTGGTGGAAGCCTGTGGATCAAAAAATTGTGAGATGGGATTGAGCTTATCTGTTACATGAACAACATCTTACATTGTTTTAAATTATGCAATGCAGACACACAGTGTCTCTTGTTACAATCAAGCCTGAGCAAGATTAGGTGAGCATAAAGAGTGTAAGTAAATAATCCCAAATTAATAATACTTATTTCTAATGTCTAAAGAAGACTAGACAGGACTGTGTAGTGTGTATATTATCAAGAAAAGGTAAGATTAGAGAAATCAGAGATGCCTCGTAGAATCAATCCTGACTTGTATATTAGTATTGTACTCCCTCCTATTCATTATAAATGTCGTTTTGACTTTTTTTGATTCATCCATTTTATTATGTATCTAGACATTTACATTAAATGTCTAGATACATAATAAAATGGATGAATCATAAAGTCAAAACGACATTTATAATGAATAGGAGGTAGTATACAGTAAATAACACTTCACGAGGAAATGTTTGTTTAGTGGTCCATTTGTTGGTTGCCGCCAAAATCCATTAAAGATATTGCCCTTTTTTTTAACATCAAAGTAGAAAGGTAAAGAGAAAAGAAAACAAAAGTAATCAAGATTGATTGAAAGTTGAAACGCGTGCTTCTTCTATGTGGGCCTTTATGATTTAAAAAAAAAAAATGGACTCCGAGATTTCCTTTATGACTCCCGAGATGACATTTTGACTCTTTTCGCTCGTGGTAAAGATTTTTGCATTGACCATCACTCCACTTCTACAAAAAGTTTATTTACAGTGACGATATTTATACAGGTTCCATTATACAAGTTTATATCTCGTTGCGGACTATTCTGTCGAAATTTGTAACTGTTAGATCAACTATCTTCCACGGTTACATGAAGATCTAGCGATTACAAAGTTAACAGAATAGTTTCCGTCAATAGATATAAAGATATAGCAATTTAATATGTAGGACCATTTGGTTAACGAGTGGGGATGCAATTGAAAATTTTTCTAAGCTGTTTTCATTCCACACGAAAAATCGTAATAACAGCTGGACAAAAAGCCCCATATTTGAAAAAGTGCTCTCAATCATAGACTAAATTTAAAATAAAAAAGAGTTGGAAAAAGAAAATCGAATATTATTTTCTCACTTGTAAGTGAGTTCTCACATGTGGTGACTGGCGAGAAGTAATGCTATTGCTCCCATTATAACTCTTTGTATTTATTATATACTCCTTCTATTCATTATAAATGTCGTTTTGACTTTTTTGATTCATCTATTTTGTTATGTATCTAGACATTAATATATCTAGATACATAACAAAATAGATAAATCACAAAAAGTCAAAACGACATTTATAATGAACAAGAGGTAGTACCACTTTACGAGCTCCAAATTCTGGGCAAATTCGACCACACACACCTACGCACTCACCGTAAATTTTTTAGCCGTTGGATCATATCTATAGTGATCCAACGTTTTCCCGATTTTGTGCATTTGCACTATGGCAAAATTATTATTATTCTTTTTAACGGTTCAGATTGTCATCACAGTGAATA